TTATATTCCACCCACAGAGACCAAAAAATAAGGTTTTTTTTTTACTTTTTTTTGCTCCAGGTACCCAACAATGGCCAAAAAACCGAGGAGGATGGTAAAAATGCCCAGAAAGACATTGCCGGTGGTATAAGCCAGGAAAAAGGTCCAATAAGCACGGGATTCCACGTTCCACCCTGAAGCACCGCATTAATGGTACCCTACCAAGGAACCTTGCCCATGAAAACCAATAGCGACTTTCTTACGGCCAAAAAAACCTTATTGTTTAATAAATCCTTCGTTAGGAAAGCCTTAACTACGCTCCCACCCATACTAATATAAAGACTTTAACGGCTAGTTTACTAGCTAAATAAGGCGATCCTAACCCCCTTAGTAAGTTCTAAATATTATATTTTATTAGCCGTTATTCTGATATTAAAATAAAAGTTAAAAAGAAAATTAATTACGCTAGAGTTAACGAAGTTACTCCGGAGAATATTAATAAATTCTTTAACTTATATTTTACTATTAATTAGATTAAATTTAAGTATAGGTATAACCACGATAAAATAAATATAATGGAAGGCCAGGGAGAAAACGGCTTAGTTATTAAGTCTTCGAAGCGGAATAAAAAGTTTATATACGTTAAACAGAACGGAAGAAGGACCAGGACCACTATATTTAAGTATATTTTATAATACGGGAGAGTCCTCCCCCCGGAGGTTATTTTTAAAGGTAAAGACCTTTAAAAGTAATAGTTTAAGGACTAATTAAATAAGGATTAATATATAGTTATATTAGAAAATAGTTGGATTAATAATAATTTTACCGTTAGTTAGTTTAAAAAGGTTTTTATATTAAAGATTAAACCTAAAGATTTATTAGAACCCCGTTTTCTTATTTATAATAATTATAGTTTATATATTATTAACGATTTTATAATCCGGTACTATATGAATAATATTTACCTTCTTTTCCTACCCCCCTACTACTTTCACGTCCTTTAACCCCTTAATATTAACTGCTTTTCTAATATAAAGAAGGTATATAAAAGGCTTATAGCTATAAACGACGCCCTTACTAACTATACGTTTAACGGTAAAGTCGACTTGGTCCGGCTATATAACCTTGCCTGTAAGTAGGGCTTTAGGAAAAAAAATATTACTGGGCTGGCGTGGGATAGGATTACGGCCTATACGTAGGCGTAAACCGCTCTTTTTACGCCAGGTGGTAGTCCCTGTGGTACCGTTAGATCTCTCTTCAAAAATACTTACTTTCTATACCGTGGGGGATTCCCAGGTGGCTAAGAAGGTCAGGGACCTACTCAAGAACCATAAGCCGGCCGGAAAACGGCTTACGGTAAGGACTCTCACTAGTACTATACTCACACTGAGATCTGAGGTATCTATCTATAAAGCTGATGCGGCAAGGCACCAACAGAACGCCTAGAAGGCCCAGGAGGCAAGAAAAAGGCGTAAGTTGAATAGAGAAGACTCGAATTCCAAGTTTGTGAGGCTCTGTGAACTGGAAGAGGCCCGCATTGAAGGGAGGGTGGTGGAGGAAGAAGTGGTAGCCAAGGAGGATGTGGAGCAGCCAGAGCCAGCCCAGCCTGTGCGGCGCAGCGCACGTCATCGGGTTCAAACCAGGCGCAAGCGAGAAGCAGATGCAATGTCTGACTCTGACAGTGATTGAGCTACATTTTGGTATAACTCCCATAGAAATTGACCCAATATTAGTCTTGTTGTGGCCAGTGTGATCATTCAGGGGTAATCTCAACAAGGTTGTGTGGCTGGTGTGGTGGTGGTGGACCAGATCCACATGTGGTCCATTTCCTGGTCATCCAACCTATCTACAACATTCAGTGGTGGATATGCCAGCCCTTGGTCGCCAGGTTGGTTGTTACCTACCTTAGGTACTTGCATGAACTCACTTTTTGAGACAGTATCTGTTCCCAGATGTCTAAACGGCTCGTGGTCGTTGGTTTGGCCCCCATCTGTCCCGCTTGACGTGCAGTATCACCCTCGCTGTTTTAGTGGCAGCCTGGGAGCCTTGTTATGAAGACGCTACCTTACTCAGCTGCAAAGTACCTATACATGAACTCACTACTTATTCTAGATTCTTAACTTCTTCCATGTCAAGTTATAAAATCCCCAATAGATTCTTCTAAGGACATCTCGGCAGTTGAAAATTGAGTGGTACACCTCTGTGTCGCCCTCAAAATGAGCCGCGGACTCGACCCTGATATCCACGCGATATTCCCTACATCTTGCTGGAAAGAATGCGGTACGTATTTGGTTGCCTCTCTGTATCATTCTCTTCAATATATTTATCCGACTGAAATCAACCAGACACTGCCCATGAGCTCGTCCGAAAAAACAGAAACACTCCTGAACTGTGCATCTCAACCACTCAATTTGAGTTCCATTACAAACAATGTCATGTTTGTGTTTTGGGCCAAGACAGAATATACTGTAACGTCGGAGCCTGCACATATTGTTCAGCCGATGGTTGCTGGGCTGGAACAGCTTTCAAATACAACCTAAACAATCCCGATCCGGGACTGAAGGCAATCTTTGATGAATCATTGAAGTACTGCAATCTTTCCCAGCCAGTACTCGACTCGCCCCCATTCATTGTTCAATTACCGACCGAGACAGCTTTGAGCACCACCACGTACCCTGCAACAACATCAACAACAGCAACGACCTCTGACTGGAAAACAACAAGTGAAGACAACCCCCCTACTCACGCTGTTGATAATGAACAGATCGACAACCATCAAGGGAGAGACAACCAAGATCTTGGTAGCGGTCATCTTTCCTCCCTGCAACTCATAGGAATAATATCTGGTGCCGGAACCGTTTTTGTTCTGTTGCTGGCTGCACTGGCGTGTTGGAAGCTGGCAGGCTACCGTCGACGAGCATCACAGCTCAGCAAGAAAGAGGAGGCTTTGAACGAAATAGAATCACAAGGGACACAGAAAATGAATGGAATCTCTATCAACGAATTAGACGACCCCCCGCCACCTAGAATCGAGATGGATATTGAACCGGGGTTTTGCGAGATGGAGGTGATGTTTCCACGCGCCGAACTGAGTGAAAGGTCTGGATATGAAGAGTTAGAGGTGATTTCTGGACAAGATTGAAGACAAGAAAACCCCAAGCCAGCCAGGGGGAAGAGGCGAGCTCCTGATAAAAGCGGAAGCAAGTTCGTTTTGAGATGAGCGGGGACCTGGTTATAGGCAGCTAAAGGTTTCATCTAGCTAGGCTGGTTCGAAACGAAGCTGCGCAAAGTTTAGAGATGTACGGGAGATAGCGAGGCGGAAGAGACATGATATTTCCCGCCCCCACAATGTTAATATAAAGAGTACATGCTGAGAGTCGTTGCTATTGCAATTGTGACCTCAAACTTCCCTAAATAGGTGCCTAACCAGACCACATCAGCTGACAGTGTATGACAAATCCTAGACTCAATGGCATTATTATGTTGGGAACAAAAATCTGTTCCCATCATCTCAGTTGTCTCTGCAGTCCTTGCACTTTGCTAAATACTCCAGTAAGGAAGCTATGGCCAAGAGTGCACCCCCTGACAAAGATCATTGCCCATCATGAAGGCCGCGGGAGAAAATGATTTCACCACGCATCAACTCAGAGATTCAGAATCTACTCCCACCGGAATGCTGGGCAGTTTGTGGTATGCAAAGACTCGGCCTCTAATTGTCTCCATCGAGTATTATCTAACATTCACGCTTCATAGAAACCGCATTCCAGCACTTAACATTGGGCGGAGATCGATTGTGCACTTCCGATTTGAACACTCTCTATCAACTTTACTATTCCAAATGCGACTCGTGCACCTTTGAGTTCGATCCGGGAACCGCAGAGGAATCTTTGCAGCATATATTCAGAGACTACTTCCGATATTGTCAAT